CCTTAGGTTTTTATTTTTTATATTGTCATTTTCACTCATATTCTTTTATGTCCTGATCTAAGGCTTCTGAAAATGAATCTGTTCCATATAATGGAAAGAGAAAGACTTGGAACATTTTGCAGTGAGAACACAGCTTCTCAAAGGATAGAGTTTCCTCAGGCTGATTAGACATCTGCAAAGTAAGTGCCATCCAAATGAGGTGTCTAGACTCTTCGCACACAGTAAGGGATCAGAGCATTTCCTGGGCACAGGAGGTGTCATTCTGAATGTTTGACATAGGTTGGATAAATCATGCCTTAAAAATACTTGGGTTTTCCCCCTTTGTTGTCATATAAAGGGTGAAGATGGAACCAGAACACAAGCACATACCCCAAATACATGCTAAGCAGAGGGACCTGGACCATAGCGCTGACGTCTAGATTGTAGCAGTTCTAGTATCTGAAGGAAGCTATGGTGAAAGGAAGTATCAGGGGCACGAGTGGATAGAAAGAAGCAGAAAGGCCTTAATGAAAAAGCACACCTAACCTCTCATGTAGCTCAAGCATTCTACATTAGGCACGAGTGAAAAAGTTTGTGTCTATCTGAGTTAGAACAGCAGAATTTACCTGCATCTCATTAAGCAGTTTGGAAAACTTGTCATGGTTCTGAGCTGAAATACTTGTTCTGCCAAAGCATAATCCTAGAATTGGGCTTTCTGGCATCAGGAGCATATGGACCATCAATTAAGCTGTTATTTCAGCACCTGACTATCCAGCAATTCCCATTTTGGCACACACAAAAAAAAAAAAAAAAAAAGCCACAAAATCTTTCAGAAAGCGCTTTTTCTATTTTGACAAATTTAAACTATCACATTTAGTTCCTATGTGAAAAGCGAGAGCTCATGACAATCTGAACATCTTTTTTTTTTTTTTCGATACCATGCACTGTAGGACTACATTCCACGTATTTCCAGTGCCACTGCATAAGCACCAGCCCAGCCAGATGACTCCACTGGAGCCTGCCAGGCTCCTAGAGCTGCTGAATTCACACTTCTCCTGGCCCCACACCCATCTGTGCCTTTCCTTCGCACGCTGGCACTGCAAAACCAAAAGACTTGTTGTATCTCTGGTGCCCCTCTCCCGGGGAGAGAAGTTGTCCCCTCTGCATGTCCTCTCCCCAAGGGCCTGGTAGCTGGAGGGGAAATGGAAGTGTGGGAAGGCATCCCAGGGCCTCACGGACAGTCCAGAAAAATTGGATTTGTTTACCCAGCGTGCAACAAGCCAGTAATTACACACCTGAAAGAGCCATTGCTAATCCTCTCTACAGCTCCCTGAAAGGAGCTTGTAGCCAGGTGAGGGTCAGCCTCTTCTCCATGGTAACAAGTGACAGGACAAGAGGACATGGTCTTAAGTTGTGCCAGTGTAGGTTTAGGTTGGACATTAGAAGGAATTTCTTCACAAAAAGGTTGGTGTGACATGGGAATGGGCTGCCCAGGGAGGTGGTGGAGTCACCCTCCCGGAGGTGTTTAAAGAAAGGCTGGATGTGGCACTTGGTGCCATGGTCTGGTTGACAAGGTGGTGTTCGGTCACAGATTGGACTCGATGGTCTCAGCGCTCTTTTCCAATCTCATTGATTCTGTGATTCTATGATTTATTTCAGCGTTGCACAAGCCCAGGTGCCGGGTGGTCTCCCACAAATCCGGCGCGCCGACTATCGAAACTTTTTCCCGTACGTCCACTTCGGCAAGCAGCGGCATTAATGTTTACACCCTGACGCTCCCCGGCACACTTCACTGCCAGCACCAATTACTGCCACCACTGCCGGCGCCCCTCAGGGCCCCCCCGCCATGGCGCCCGGCACCGCCTGACGTCACTTCCCGGGGCCGCGGGCCGCCCCTGCCGGCCGCGCTCCCCATGGCGGCGGCGGCGGCGGGGGCCGGCGGGGCGGGCGGTGGCGGCGCCTCGGCGGCGCTGGGCGACGGCGGCGCCATCGACTACTCGGTGCACGAGGCGTGGAACGAGGCCACCAACGTGTACCTGCTGGTGGTGCTGGCCAGCCTCGCCCTGCTGGTCTACGCGCGGCGGTGAGAGGAGGCCCGGGCGGGGCGGGGGCTCCCGCGGGGCCCCCACGTGGAGGGGCGACACCTCTCACCGCCGTGCCCCCCTCCTCCTCCTCGCAGGAACAAGAGGAGGATCATGCGCATCTTCACCCTGCCCCCGGCCGCCGAGACGCCGCCCGAGCCCAACTTCTACGACAGCATGAAGAAGATCCGCCTGCGGCAGCAGCTGGAGATGTACTCCATCGGTAAGTCCGAGGGAAGACGGGGCTCCCCCGGGCCTTCGGGTGCTGGGGGCTGTTCCTAAAGGGATGGCCTCGAGCCTTGTGCGGTGGGAACGCCCCCGGTCCTGTGGCACCATGTGAGCAGGGGCTCTGCAGCTGCTGAGCTGAGTTGCGAGGGGAGGTACGGAGCGAGGGAGCGGCTGTGCCTTTACCCTAAAGCAAATGTCGAAAGGAATTCCATGCTATACTTTGGAAGAGCTGGGAAGGTCTGGATGTTTTCAAAACGTGGACAGATCTGTAAAAGTGTGGAAACATGAGTAAGACAACCACAAAAATTGAAAATAAATGAGAACTTTACTGTACCAACAAGTGTTGCTGCTCCCATCTTAGTGCTGAAGGTCAGGATGGAGGCAGGACGGAGCCCCATGCCTGTGATATTGCAGTGATCCAATTCAGAGAAACACACCTTGCTTCACATCTGCCCTACATACATGCCTAAAGGAAATACGGCAAAAAAAAACCCTCAGTGATCTGAAACCACCTTTTAAACGCGAAGACTTGATGTAAAGATTCTTACACCAGGCCATTGCATTCTGTAGGAACAAAATTGGATGTTCTTCCTACGGTTGAATGCTGGCATTTGCTGATGGTGTTTGTAGCACTGCACACAACTCTTTGATCTCCCTTTTGCCTTGCTAACTGGATTAATTTTGAAGTCAAAGTAATTGTTAGCTTGTGGCTTCTATATTGTGGAGGAGATGAGAAATGCGGACATCAGCCTTGTGACTATTGAGTTGCTCAGGTCGTCTGTAATAGAACTAATGAAACCATAGCCTTTATTTTTATTTATTTATATTTTAATAAAAGGACCTGAATGGAATCATGGTTCTCTGCCATTGATTTACTGTCGTTTGGCTCTGACTCTACTCTTCAGCATTTACAAGGCCACGCTCTAAAGGTGAAGTTCTACATGATGACTGAAACTTCCCCTTGTGTGGCTGAAATTATATTCTCTGATACTACATCTGTTTCTTGATTGCTGTTATACAAACACATATATAAACATATATGTATACATATATAGACATGTATGTATACATATATACATGCATGTATACATACAATAATAATAGTAATGATAATATGTAATAAATTGTATAATCGGTGTTGATTGGTGTTTCTTTTTTTCAGCAAGGAAGTATGAACAGCAGCAGCAGCAGCAGCCGCCAAAACAGACTGAAAGTGTACAGCTCTCAGTGGAATGAAGCCCACAGTTCTGTAGGAACTCAGGACAAATATCCAGTGCTGATTTTAAGAGTCAATGTGGAGCTATTTTCAATGCTTTTTAATTGAGACATAGCTGAAGGCAAGGAGGAAAGGAGGGGGACTGTCCCTAAAACTTTGTTCTTAGTAGCTTTTCTCTGAGACCTCGTGAGGTAAAATGAATGCGCACTGGAACATTCAGCATTAAAGTATCCAGCACAGGGCAGACCTGCTCAGAGGAACCTGAGGGTTGGGAAGTGCAGTCTTAGGAATGTCTGAATTTCTCTCTGCTAGAACCTTGGAAATCAGCTCCTACCTTCTCTGACAACAGCATCCTAGAGAAAGCAAGGCAGTACCTATCTGCCTGGAAACCCTTGTGTTCCTTGATCATGAATTGTTGAATTTGCTGAATACAGTCAGTAAGTGTGAATGAAGGTACTGTGGCCGTACTGCCTGGTGAAGTTGAACAGCTTTGAGAGCCCAGAGTGTCACTGGTGGTAGTGCAGAAAAGTTCTGCTCTCTGTTTATTTGGGAGTTGTGTATGCAATACTGTGAACCTTTCCTGGGGAAACTTTGAGAAGTACACAGTGAACTATATGTATAGAAGACACTTAAAGCCACTACTCTAATGGCAAAGGTGGTTAGCTTAATTTAGTCAAATTGCTGTAAAGAATGGGTCTGTCTGTAAAAATCTGTATAAGCACATCACAGCTTATCCAGAAAAGACTTCACACTGCAGTTACTCTTTCTAGGTAAATCTCAAAATCAGTGAATTGAAAGGATTCTGCAGAAATTACTTTTTAATAAAAGCATCTAATTGTGAAAACTACTTGAAGACGTATCATGGTGTAATTCTTAAGGTTACACAAGTTGAGTTGGCCAAGTGATGAACAAACAGCACAGTGCTGGGAGTTTACATCCAGGTAGGTTTTCACCTATTCTGTGCTGAAATATATTAGGTCTTGGAGCAGTGGTGAGCACCACTGCGGTTACAATTGGATATTAAGAAACTTTGCTTCGAGTACCAAATTTTACTATATTGAAATGATCTGTACTTCAGTGTCTGTAGGGACTGTAAAACGTGACCTGGGCCGAACTGACAGTGGCAGAAGGCTCAGTGGGCTTGCCCATGAAAAGGCTCCTTTGGGTGAAGGGTGGCCCCCTGTCACAGCTTCCTCGCGTGTAGCCTCGGAACACAGCGGGGTAACTCCGCGGGGCTGAGGGGTGGCGGCCACAGGGCTGCCGGTGCCGTGTCCTCCCCGCGTAACTCTGCCCGTGTGATGACCCCGCTCCGCAGCGCGTCCCCGTCACTCGGCGGGGTTTAAACAGAGATCCACGCCCGGCAGAGCTCCCCGGGCGCTGAGGAAACCCGCGGACCGCAACCCTCTCCATCCCCCGGAAACGGCGCCGTTTCCCCTTGGCTCGACCTCACTTCCTCTCGCGCTTCCGTCTCCGGGACGCGCCGGCTCCCGCTGCTGCCGCCGCCGGCGGTACTGCCGCCGCTGCTGCTCGGAGGCCGGAGGCGCCCGCCGGGCGGTGAGTGGGGCCGCGCCGCCGCCGCCCCCCGCGCCCCGTCCGCGCCGAGGGGAGGGGAGGGGGCGCCTCGCCGGGGGCCGTGGCGAGGCGGGAAGGGGCCGCTCGAGGAGAAAGCGCTGTCGGGGGCGGGGAAGGGGTGTCCGGGTCTGGCTCCATTCCTGCGGGAGGGCTGCGTGCCGCCGCCGGACCGGGCGGGCTCTCCGCTCCGTTCCCCGCGGGAGCGCTCCCCGCGTGTCCCGTGGCCGGGTTCGCGCCGCGGGCGCCGCAGCGATGTCCCGGCTCGGCGGCTCGTGGCTGTCCGGGAAGCTGAGCCCTCCTTCCTTCCCACCGGCCCTGCCCACCCGGGCGGGCGGGCAGGGAACGGAGCCTTTCCTCTGGCGCATCTCGGCCGGCGCCGCTGCCCGACGCAGCCGCCCGGTGCGGCTCCGCTCGCTTCTATGGAGCAGCATGGCACAATGAACCCGCTTACCCCTTGCCGCTTACCCCGCACAGCCGGCTTTCGGGCTGCAGATAATAATGTCTCGGTTTGCTTCTCAGCTCAGCTGAAAGCCCCGTGAAAGGCTTAGAAATCTGGAGCAGCGTGCGGCTTCGTTTGTATTCATGGACCTGGGGCAGTGTCACGAGCATCTCAAACTTACCTGTACGGAACAAAAAGCTTGTAAGGAGAAGTAACAAAAGCGAAAAGTTCTCCAGGGCCCGTGCCCTTTGCATGTGCTTGGGTGTTCGAAGGATGCTGCTTGAGCCATGACTGAAGGGCAGGCAGGTCGTGGTTTGTTTTCCGGGCAAGTGCAGCCATGGAAGTTCTGTCCCAGTGAAGCCATACCGTGTTCTGCAGAGGGCTTTATGTTTTCAGACGTACAGTATATGTTGGGACAGAAGGTGCAGTCAGCTTTTGAAATTTTACCTCAAAAGTCTGCACTGATTTTTACCTGATAATTAATGATTCTAAAAGCAAAGGCAGATAGGGTAGAGGGACAATAGATTTTTTTTTTTCATCCATTTTTAGTAGTCAGGCTTACAGGCATGCGTAGGGATGAACTTTGTTCATGCTGGATTTTGGATGTCTTGGATGGGGAAAGTTTATGACCTAACAAAAATTGGGCCAGAGTTATCTTCAGTTACGTTTATTTTTGAGAATGCTGTACAGGGGGAACTGTTTCTAGATTACCCAATACTGTTTAAAAAGCTATTATGATGTGTAGATTTAATGCTGTCTGATCACAAGAAGCATGTGAGGGAAGGCTTTCTAAGCAGTTAAAACTTTACATCTGTAAGATACCGAAGAAAATCATTAACAAGTGGCTCTCAATTATAGCTCCAAAGATTTTTGAGAATCTGACCGCTGTTGTCTCCATGTGAGCTGCTGAACATCAGATCTTTGTAAATGCAGTCTTCAGATGGCATTACAACCATGGCTGTATAATCTTATGTGAAAACTATAATCTTCTGTTAAGTGGTGGAAAAGTCATCTCTCTCCTCATAACCCAAAATGTGGCTGACTAGGTTTTTTACTCAGCACTGCACAGAAGATCAAAGGTTTTTGGATAGAGCTGTATAAATTCTGTGACAAGGCTCAAGAGGCTCTTAAATATTTAAGCTATGAGTATGTCTGTGTTTAAAGGAGACGTCGTAAACTCTGAGTGCCTTGTAGTGAAAATATCCTCCCCTGTGCCACGAGCATTTCGAGGTTCAGTCCAGTGTTACATACCCGGATAGTATGAACTGGTATGTGCAGGCCGAGCCCAGATGAGAACATATCCTGCAGCAGCTGCCCTGATGCCTTATAGCCAGCTATAGGATTTAGGAATTTCAGCAGAGCGATGCTGAGTCTTGCTCTCAAACTTCCCTTCCAAGATTGCCTGATCCATTGAGAAGACCCACAGAGGAAGCCTTTGCTGTACCACTAAGTACTGCTGATGGCAGTAGAGGCTCTGAAAATGGGCAGAACATCCCAGTGCTTTTGTCTGAGGACAATTTGCAGGGAAGCTTCTTCAGTGCAATGCAAAATTATTGAGAATATTCTAACCAGTGATGAATCTTTTCATAATTTATGTTTTGCATATATGATTAAGCAGCATTGGCCAAAAGCCTGGTGACAGCACAGGGCTCTGGAATGTTTTCCTGTTGCCTGGGTAGTTTATTCATGTTAGCTTACTTCCGTGAGCTTAATCGCTCCTTTTAAAGTCCTCCTGAACTCAGGAGTGCCGCTGCTATTGAGCAAGCTGAAATTATACACGCTGCAGGGAGAAAGGTGGGGATGTTGAAACTTAACATTTCTTTCGGAGGAATTGAAAAGATTTTGCCCCAGCCCTAATTTCTGCATTAAAGAAATTGAAAATTGTCATTGCGTGCCTTCTTCAACAGGGAAGCAGCACATTGTTAGAAAACGTGTCATTAAATCCGTGATGTCTTTGGCCTGTTATGCCTAAAGAGCAAGAGCAGTTGGAGGAGGCTTGCTGACAAAGTGGAGTCTTCAGTCATGGTTGCTTATGCTCCAGATCAGAAGTAGTGATCAAAAGGCGTTCCCTTTCATGTCCAAGCACTTAAACTGTGTTTTAGTCATGGTAAGGAACCTGTTGTTTATTAACCTAGTCACTCAAACAAAAGGCAGCACTGGATCTTGTCCTTGAGACAGAGCTGCTGCTGAAGAGCAGAAGGTTTCAGTGCCTCAGGCCCTCGAGAATGGAGGTAAGATCCTTCACTTTGCAGCCCTGCATCTGTTGCAGCATAAGAGTTAAGGGCTATGATCCAGTTTTTTGTAGTCTAACAAGCTCGACCAGAAATTGGCATTGTGTGGGTCGAGGGGACTCCCTGCTGGCTGAGGGAGAGATATGGAGGATGACCAGAGGTACTGACTGCTGGCAGAAGAGCCCAGAGCCAGCACAAATGTCTCATGAGAAATCTGACATCAGGGAGTGGAAATCAGTGCTACTTTTTCTGTAACAGAAGGCAAGAAGAGGGGGGGGGGGGAACCACACGTACTGCTAGGAGCAAAAGGCTCATGATTTTTTTAGGCAGAAAAATCCTGCCTTAATTACGTTTCCCCCAAGTCTCTGATAAAAAATGGCTGATAAAACTTTGGAGTTCTCAGATGTCTCTGTGAAATCTGTGTTTGCATTGAAAAGACTAAGAACCTTTTTAAGAATGAAGGTGCTTTGCCTTATTTTTGCAAGGAATGTCTAAGCTTTGGGTGTTACTTTAATAAAAATAATTCCTGATCTTTTTATGGAATATCTAAACTCTGGGCGTTACTTTAATAAAAATAACTTCAAACTCCAAGATTAACAGAATTGCTAAAAGGAATTAGTCCTCAATATGAAAAACAATAAACTAACTTTGAAATTTCTGAACCAAGCCCTCAAAGGCAATCTGTGGCAAAACTCCAGGAAAAAAAAAATTAATTTTTATAAAATAGCTGTATATCTTCTTTCTCAATTATATCTAGGCACTGCTTTGGAAAGTGTTTCTCTCCTTGCAGATGCCTAGGAATGAGGTATTTTAAGATAATTTGGTTTAATTTTAATCTAGAAGTAAAATCAAGTAATCTTGCAAAGGGGCTGTTCAAATTTGGGATTTACTGAAACTGTAGTCCGAAAAAATACTTTCCGTTTGCATATCTGATGAAGAACATAGATCCTGAGTCTGTGAAGGAGTAGTCCCATTCAGTTTCTGCCAGGCTGTCAGACTTGCTGGAACTGGTTTTGGACATCCATGATGTATAAAATGCACATGTGGATCTACAGCTTGCTCCTGAGAAAGACCATGGTTTTGTTAAGATAATGGCAACATCTGTCATTTTCATAAAGGAGTAGAACAGGTATTTTGAAAAGACTCAGCCAAAGGAAGGCTGTATTACTTTCTAAAATATCCTCTGGATCATCTTGGAAACATGGTTTGTAATATGCTCTTGACTGACAAGGTAGGGTGCGAGGCGTAAATTCCTGAGCAGGAAAGATGTATGTGGGTTGTGCAATGGGAGACTCCATGTGATGTCGTTATTTATGGCGCTTCTCTCAGATGTCTTTCTGGGACTCGAACAGCTGCTGTGAACTTTACCCAGCACCGAGCACTAGATATATTTGAATGACTATTTTGTTGTTGCTTGGATCATGGTGATAAGCAGTATAGAGCCAGGTTCTGTGGCACTGGTTGAAAGAGGAGGGCAGAACTGTTACTGGGTGGTGAAAACCTTGCAGGGGGGAAAAAAGTAAGATTATCATCTTCCATAGCTTTGGTTGGTGGACATCAGGGAGTGATAGTTGAAGGCAACCCATTTCTTTTTGCTGTAATGTGGAAGGAAGGGTGGACTGACAGAAGAGGAAGAGTTGCTTTTTCTTTTCAGAGAAAGGTCGGAAGGAGAGAGGCGGAGGTGCAGGTTTTTCACTCTTGCCTCTTTTCTCCGTGACTGTATTGTTAAATGGTAGCAACCATTGTTTGCAGGAACTTTTCCTTGCTTTCGTAAAGACCTGTGGGTTGTCATGTGTTTTGTTATGTGGCAGTGCTGTTGTTAAACAGATCCAAATCTACAGTCAGATAAGGCTCGGAATAATTGATGTTTTTAGCTCAGCTAAATAACTGAGTTCACATGATCTGTAAGTGGCCAGCGGGTTTTTTTAGGCAAAGTATGTACTGCTTGTATTATACTTTTATTTAAAGCTAATTTTGTCACAACAGATCGAGCCTTCTAGCAACCAAAAATACCTTAGTTGAGCCCGTTAAAAAAGTCTCCCTACCCAAAGTCTGTTTCTGTGTGTGACAAACAGAAAATACCTCTTCTTTTCGACTTCATAGTCAGTAATGACTCTGTAGTGGTGAAAGCATTGCACTCTGTGCCTCTGAGATTACTCTTGCCACTGCTGATGGGCGAGTTGTTCTGTATCATTATTGTCTTCCCTTTCAACCTCAGCACATTCTGGAATGCCAAAGGCAAACCACTTGCTGGCTGATCAGAGGTCCTGGTGGTGCTGGTGTGGCAGTGCTCTGAACCTTGTGGCTTGGAC